CCTGTCCCTGCAGGGGACTAGATGACCTTGAAAAGAACCTTCCCACCCAGCCCATTCTGTGACATTCTCTTCTACAGAACTAAATGCAACCCCTGGGTCAGTTAAAGACAGGCACAACTTCTACCCTTGCCCTGAGTCTTGGCCTCCTTACAACAAGTCTGCACAGGCAGCAGTTGTTCTTCCAGCACCTTGCTGCCAGGGTTGAGGCCCATGTGTCCTGTCCCCTGGCCTGAGCTTCCTGACCCAGGAGCTCTGGGCCCTCACCAGAGCCCTGCTGCTTTGTTTTCCTCACCCTCTGGCAGAGAGGAGAGACTTAGGCAGGAAGAGGAGGAGCAGAAGAGGCACAAGCTGCAGGCCCTGGAGAAGGCAGCTGTGAAGTTGGAGGCTTTCATGAAGGAGAAGGAGAAGGAAGTTCTCCAGCTGCAGGTAGGAGCAGCTGCTGCCTCCTGGGGCAGGGATTTGCTGGCAGCCCCGTGGCAGCCGTGGGCTTCTTTTCCAGGGATTTTTGTGCTGGTGGAATGGAGCACAAGCCTTGGCACCTTCTGGGTGTTGACAGCCTGTGGGTGGGAGGGAGGTGGAGGGAGAGCTCCGAAAAAAACCCACCATGGAATGATCCCGGAGGAGAGAGAACAAACTCCCCTCCTCCTGGGAGCTCCTGGGGGGAGCTGGGCAGGCAGCAGCACCTCACCCACCCCCCTCCCTCCTTCAGGAGGAAGCCAAAACCTTCATCACCCCTGAGAACCTGGAGGCCCGGATCGAGGAGTGCCTGGACAGCCCCCACAACCCCAACTTCGCCATCGACAGGGAGGGGCGGGTGGCCCGGCGCACCCCGCTGCCCTAGCACAGCCCTGGGGGGGCAGGGCCTCGGGGGGAGGCCTCCTGTGGCTCCCTTTTCAGAGATAAATCACCCACGGCACCCGTGGAGAAAGTTTGTGGCTCTGGTGGTGGTTCTTCCAAAGGGTGAACGCCTGGGGGAGGGAGGAACAGGCTGCTGGTGGTGGGGCTGCTGGTGGTGGGGCTCTGATGCCACCTCCCACGGGTGGGGATCCCCCCCACTTCCACACCAGGCGTGCAGCAGGGGAAAAAGGGGGGTGGTGCTGAGGCAGAACCTGCCCTGAGCTCCTCAGTGTCCCCCCCAGTGCTCCTGGGAGGTGATGGGCTCCGAGTGGCTCTGTGGGACACAGCCACCCTCCACCCTGGGGGTTTGGCTCTTCCTCTGGTTCCTGCCCACACTTCACACCCACCCTTGCCCATCTCCTGGTGTGCTGAATGAGGAATGTGTGGAGAACATCTCAGCAGTGCTGGCTTTTGGGTGTCTCCTTTCCTCCTCACTTCAGCCTCGTTTTGCTCCTCACAGGGGTCACTGGGCCCTCTGGCTGGTCATGGTCTCACAGAGCAAGCTGCACTCCCAGCCTTGCCCCTGAGCTCCTGGGGTGGGGCTTGGCCAGGGTTAGGGCTGGGCTGGCCACTGGACAAGTGACATGATCTCCCTTAACCCCTCTCCCTCCTACAGGGGGAATCAGGCAGAGACTTAGGGGCTAATGAAATAATTAAGTAGGTGCTGAATCCCAGTGTGGTGGGGCTGGAAGGGACCTCTGGAGATCACCTCATCCCACCCCCTGCTCCAGCAGGGTCACCCAGAATCACATCCAGGCAGGTTTGGGATCTCTCCCCACAACCTCTCTGGTCATTTGCATGTATGCAAATACGTAGTCACCAATCAGACTGCCCCAGAGTCCAGACTGGATGAAACACCAGCTGTAAGAAGCCACCTTAAATCCTTCCTTTTTATCCTAAAACCAGCTCCTTCTCTCCACCCAGCCTCCAACTAAACAAAAAAAAACCCCACAGAACCCCCTCAGATTTTCCTTGACAAGTTTTATTTCCAGCTGAGCT